TCACTTTAAGAAGAGCAGTAACCGTGCTATGGCCCGGTCGAAACCCCGACTGAAGAGGACTCAATAAATTGTTACCATAAATAAAGTGGGAGAACTGTTTGTGGACGCAGACTTCAAGCACTTTGGAGAGGAAAGGCAGAATAGAAATGGTACGAAAGTGAGTGGGAAGAGACGGATTGGAAGTTTTAGGTAATGGGCGTACATACGCTTTCCGCCACAAAGATGGAAATGTGCCAGACATGAGGGAGAAGTTAACGATATTTGAGATAGCGGGGAGGAGGTGGACTAGCAATGTGGTGATCATTCTCCGACTAATGCCATCACAACCAACCGCTTGGGATTTGATAGATAGGACATTTTTTTTAATATCTCCCTCTGCGACCGGACCAAAGAAAAAAGGACTTAAGTTAGAGCGCGGTAGAATATTGATGTAAATAAGGGTATCATGTTCAGATTGACTGTCTAACATGAGTGAGGTAGTGAAATGTTGGTTCATGGAATCGAGACTTATGGATTGAGGAAGGTCTACATGACGCGACCTGCCGATACCAAGAGTTCCAAGGAACTTCCAGATATCGGCATCCAGGGCGCCGGCGGCCGTTTAACTCTAACCTTTCTAACCGGTGCATGGGTATCATATAGTGTAGTCACTACCTCATTGAATATATATACCTTGTCATCAACAGCAGCGGAATCGATCAGGGGTGCCCAGTCAATACGTGAAGCATCATCACTCACACAATGTTTATCGTGCAACGTATCCGAACAGCAGTGACCGAGATGAGTGAATGAAAAAATCTATAATCTATGCTACTGATTATAAACACACAAACGTCAAAACACTAGACACAGAGAAAGGGTATAAAAGTATTAACAATATAAAGGTTTAGGACTTGAGAGAAAACAAGTTGAGAGAATGTGTTTACATAAAGGGATAAGAGTTTTGCTTGCAAATAATACTCGATTTAAAGTAAATATTATTACTATGTGAATTATTGTTCTAAGTGTCACTCAATTAAATTTATTTAAATTTATTTACGAGACCTGTTTTCTCCAGCAGACCGATCACCGGGCCCCGAGGAAACTGTTTGTGCCTTCGGATATTTCATCAGCAGCGGGTTCAGCTCGTCGATGGTCGTAATCTTGTGTATGTATGCCAGGGAAAGTCTTCAACACAAAGTCTTTTGAAACACAAAGTCTTTGTCATTGTTGTATCCTGATAATCATGGAATTGGGAAAAGGCCATAGTCAAATTAAGGTTGTCTAATAATAGGTCTTATGTCATAGAGGATGTCAATGGAGTTAGGTATAGGAGAAATAGGGTTTACTTAAGACATAAATACTCTTGTAATACAGCAGACCCTCCTATGCTATTCAACTCGTCGCAGGGGAGAGAGGAAGGTGATAGACAGGTGGAGTCCAGACCTCAACCATCCTCACCTCAAGCCTCTAGTCAAAAAGTCACTCGTTATGGCAGAGTTGTAAAGTCAACGAGAAGACTAATAGAAGAAGTGCAATAATTATGTAAACATGTATAAAGTATGTCTAAGTAGTGTCTAAATATAAGTCTCTGTAAAGGGTGTACATGATTGCTACAGCATGGTCGTTGAGTTTGACTTAAGAAGGGGGATGTTGTAACATCACTACTTTAGTAAGTAGTAGTATGTCCCATCACTGAGTCACGTAGCAAGATGTACACTCTAGCGCAGCCATTGCTGGATCGTCCGCGACACTGTGTAGACTTAAATACAGTGCTCTGATTATATGACGATATAATATTCAAAGTCGTTCTTATTTACTAAGTCGTTAAGCAATACGTGAGAACACAATTGTTATGTTTTTTAATAGTGTTTTATTTTCTACGAGCTTTCCGGTAGCTTCTAGGAAGTTCGGCTAATCTATCATTCCACCAATCACATCTACGAGTGTTAGTGATAGATCCGCGACCAATAGATACATCAGCGCAGTATGTGAAAGTTTCTGATAGTATTTCTGCGCTTTCCTCAGCTGATAAACTACTGCGACTGAAGTCTTTGATTTGAGTTGCAAAGAGTGAACCAAACAAAGCCCAGTGTTATATCTAAAATTATAGGGAGCCCTTTGTGGATCCTGTGCAACCCTTGGTATGAATTCGTACACGATCAAGCGGTGATCACTGCAGGATGCGTCCGGAAGGACACGCCATCCGGATATCGAGACGTCGCCGCGCGTAAGCGTCACGTCAATAGAAGACTCACCCATTGGGAATAGTAAGATTCATTTCCATAATGAAAACTTCAACCGCACAACGTCGAACCGTGTCGGTTGAACGCAACTTGCCATACCATAATGAAGATGACGCATTGACATCAGCGCCAATGATAATTTTATGTCCCACGAGAACTGCAAGACGTAACGTAAGTGATGTAAGTGAGGATCAATAGGATGTGAATATTGAAAATAGCAGCTCACTACGTAAACCTTACAGGTAGAGGATGAGATCTCAGCAACGGCGCAGTGTGACATCATAAGATTACGCAAAGATGTTACCGTAAAATTAGAACTTGCAACATACATTCCAGCCTGCGAACTGCAGTCAAGCTGTACTACATTACGACGCAAGTGAGCGCTCTGATATTGTTCTTGTATAAGGAAAATGTCTAAATTTTGTTCTAAAATTAAACGGTCTAATTCTGATGTAGCTATTTTATCGTTATGAAGATTTAACTGGCCTAATATACTAGCCTAATATTATCCATTACTTAGTAAGTTACTCTATAAACTTTTTTTTATTTTTAAGCTAAATTAAACTATTCAGTAATTGGTATTTAATATTAGCTGTTCCAGTTTTAATTTGCATGTGGCACAGTCGTGTAAGCCGCATCGGTGGTTAGATGGTTTTTTGAATTGCTTGCACTGTGCGCACGTGGGCTTGAAATCTGGTGTGTCTTTATCTGGACAAGCTCGCGTTTCGTGTGCGGCGGCGCAATTAGTACAAGTAGGGGTTTTATTGGTGCAAAACTGTTGTACATGACCGAATTGCTGACAATTTAAGCAACGAACTACTTCTATATCGTCTATGAATCTACATGTGGCCCAGTCTATATAAAGTTTATCTTTTGTGTTAGCTAGATGTTTCCTAACTGCTGCCTCTAATTCTAAGCTTATCCATTGACGCTCATTTTCTAGTTTACGATGCCTAACAATTTTGGTTGACTTAATAAAATCGTTATCACTTAATTTTAAATTGTCCTTGATATTCTGACGGTATCAGGCTGTTAGGAAGGCACGATCTTCCATAGAACCGGGTACGTCTTTTACAATTATACGGGGCTTACGGCCTTTCGGTTTTTCTAATCGTAACCCTACTGATTTAATGGCGTCTACAGATTCCAGTTTCTTAAGCTGCCGTGCGTTAGCTACACGTAACACGACCCCTGCCTTAGAGGTTTTTTAACGCCAACAATTTGGAATCCCTCATCGCTCGGTTTAATAGCCTTCATGAGAGATTGCGTCGTTGCTGACGAGTTCGCATAGTCCACTAAGCGTTCCGTAGTGGGATAGGCAATAACACAAGGCCTAGGAACGCGCGCTTCAGTAGGTCCTGGGCAAGGAGCGGACTTAGGTGGTAATTGAAGCTTAAGTTTGTCCGCGTACGTTAAACTCGTTTGTTGAGTTGCGATACCCTCTATTTGTCGCTCAAAATTCGCTAACTTCGTTTCGTTGCTAGAGGATTTTATTGCTAGCAAGGATACGATACCGGTAATTCGTTGAGTAATATCCATAATTGCCGTTTTATTAAATACATTCATCCGAGATCCCTGATCATTAACTAATTCATTATTTTTTGCCAAATAATCGGTAGCCTGTGAGACTAACTCGCAGTAATTGTACTCCCCTGTAATTGCATTTTATCGCCAGTACCCGCAATGTGAATAATACCGTCTCGGGTCCAACATTTAGTTATACCAAACCTCTGACGTGCAGACATGAAGAGACGATGTCTGGATTTCGTTAGGAACTCTGATATGATGACCCCAGTGCCCTTCAAGTTGGTTTTAGCGAACCATACAGAATCTCTGGTAGCGACTTGTTGAAATTTTACAAGTATGGAACTGGGCTTACTAGATGACGATGAGACCCGTCCCACCCTTTGACTCTTTTTAATGCTATTTGTAGTTAAACCACTCACCTTACACTGTTCACTGAAGACCCTACCAGCCACCAATGCAATGTCTTCATTCTTCTCCTCGGGCACACCATGAAGCATTTTCTGCTGCGCATCTCCATGTTGTCTGCAGATGGATGTTATTCAGAGCTTCGAGGACAAACTTTTTGAAAGTTACAAACTCTGTTGCAAGTTTGGCGGGTGATGCAGATGAGCTGGCTTCCTTTTGAAGCTTGTCACTTGACTCAAATTCTGCCATGGGAGTATTAAACATAATGTTGGATTATATACCTTAAGTACATTTATTGACAGTCCACTTCTCTACACCTCAAAGCTTAGCTTCTAACCGCCACCCACATTCAATACATGTATGTTCAGTTCAGTACCAAATAAAAGTTGATCAGAGAAACACGCTTGTTTACATATGTCAAAACCCTGTACAAACACCTATCGAAGATTGCACCTTAATGGTCATAATCGAGCCGGATATAGATATCGGGGTTTTATAAATTATTTACTCGTAGAAACCGCAAAGCGGCCGAAGAGAACAATAGAAGATCGCATTCCATCTTAGATAACGTGCCATTGGGTGAAGACTGTTGGACAAATAAAGCAAAGTAGTGAATTAGTATTTTAAAACTTTGAATATCGCTTATGTTAATACGTTATATTGAAGATCACCACGCCGTTATCATCACGCCGTACTTTACGAAGAGACAGCAGAACTGTTTTGAAGATTTTTGAGTGTTATTTTGTGGAAACATATTGAAGATAACATTACGCCGTATTACTAACAAAGCATCAACAGAAGCGTATTTGGAGAGTATTACGTGTATTATAGTGACAGTGCAATATGACTAAATCACTAACAGCCGAGCAAGAAAAGATAGTTAATACATTGACAGATACAGAGGAGTTAATGACTAAAAGTAAGGTTAACTTGAAAAAATGCCCTAAATCACGACTTACAAAGGGGTACATACAATCAAGAATTCAGTGCGTAGAAGAGTACTGGAAAGTGTTTACCAGCTCTCATCAGCAGTTAACAATGATTACACCACGAGATAAAAGAAATGTAGTGCCGTATTTTGAGAACGATGTGTATTCGGAGACGGAAGACCTTGACTTAAGTTTTGCTGGGTGATTTGTTTTTGATTTGTTATTAAAGTTAAATGAAGGACCACAGTCATCGAACTCTGCACCAGAAGACAAAGGTAGATACACAGAAGTGAAATTGCCAAGAATAACGATTCCTATGTTTACTGGGATTTATGATGAGTGGCCTACGTTCAAGGACTTGTATGTGTCACTAGTACATGAAAATAAATCACTTAGTAATGTGCAAAAGTTGCATTATTTGAAAACCAGCATCGGCGGGGAAGCGGCCACCTTACTCAAAAATATTAAAGTAACGGAAAGTAATTATATACAAGCTTGGGAGACACTAATAAACCGTTATGGGAATAAACGATTAATAGTTAACTCACTGCTAAAGAGACTGTTTTCTCGAAAAAGGTAGTACTCAATCAGCCAGTCAAATAAAGTTCATTTTAGACACAACTACTGAGGTTATTAACAGTCTAGAAAATTTGAATATTTCTACAAGCTCTTGGGATCCATTAATTATATTTCTGATTGTGCAAAAGTTAGACCCGGAGTCACATAAAGACTGGGAGGAGTACGTCTATAAAGAAATAAAATAAAATATAGATACTGAGAAAATTACAGAAGAATTACCTACCTGGCAAGATTTAAAGACATTTTTAGAAGGGAAATTTCGTACCTTGGAGTTACTAACACCCACCACCCCATTATTTACGCGTGAGAAAACTAAAGAACGTGTACTACATGTTTCAACCCCAATGCACAACACCTGTATAATGTGTAAAGAAAATCATACGATAAGTCACTGCAAGGCCTTTACTACACTTCAACCAACGGAACGAAGCGAATATGTAAAGAATCACAGGTTGTGTTTCAACTGTTTGGCACCAGGACATGCGGTGGTGAAATGCCGTGTCCCAAGTCATGTCGGGTTTACAACAGACGCCATCATTCTCTTCTACATCAATTTAAGAATTCTGATGCCTCGGCCTCATCGGGAACTATACAACCGGTGGTATCAACTCAAACAGATGGAGAAGAAAAGCTGCAAGTTAATACAATGATTGCGTCTTACTACAATGCCAAACAAAACATGGGTCTCTTAGCTACAGCAATGGTGATAATACAGAGTAAAGAAGGACACACCATGGTACTCAAGGCGTTAATAGATCCAGGATCACAAGCATGCTTTCTGAGTGAAAAGGCTGCTCAAGCTCTTAAACTAACTAGACACTGTACAAATAAAATTGTCACAGGAATGGAAGCCATTAAAGTGGTCGTCAAACAAGAAGTGCAGGTAGAAGTTTTATCACGCTGCGACCGTCACTTTAGTCTCCCCATACAGGCCTATGTGATGTCCAAGCAATTAACAATTCAAATACCTGCAGAAACATGGTCAACTACATGGCCACATCTAATTGATCTTGAATTAGCGGATCCTGAATTTTGTACATCAGGACAAGTAGATCTTCTTCTGGATGTCAAAGGGTATGCACAAATCCTGCAAGAGGGTTTGATCAAAGGTCCGCCGGGGTCTCCACTAGCGCAAAGAACCAACCTTGGCTGGATTGTTTTTGGAGAAATAAACATCAAGACAAACAGAAAAGATAAATGTTACATGACGATTAATGAAGAAGTAGAATTAAAGATTTACTAAAAACAATGTGGGAAATTGATACAAATACAAAAAGAAATTATACTAAAGAAGAACGATTATGTGAAGAAATTTATGACAAAACATACACCCAAAACAAGGAAGGTCGTTACATTATTAAATTACCTTTTAAAATTGACAAACCAAAGTCACCGGAAGGAAATACAAGGGAAATAGCATTAAAAAGGTTTTTACAACTAGAGAAGAGATTAAATAAAGACCCTAATCTGAAAAACGAGTACACAAAAGTTTTACAAGACTATAAGAACTTAAAACAAATAGAAGAAGTGCCACCACCTGAAATAAACAAAAAAGCAGTGTACTTACCACATCACGCCGTAGTCCGCAATGATAAGGAAACTACCAAAACACGCATTGTTTTTGATGCCTCATGCAAGAGTTATAACGGCGTTTCACTTAATGATGAATTACTTACCGGGCCAGTATTGCAAGACGATCTTCGCAGCTTGATAATACGATGGCGCATGCATTCTGTATGTTTCGTTTCTGACATTCAAAAAATGTACAGAATGATATTGGTAGCCAAAGAAGACACTGACTACCTTCGAATATTATGGCGAGATGACACATCACACAACATTCAAGATCTGAGACTTCTGACTGTTACCTTTGGCACCGCATCTGCACCGTACCTGGCTGTGAAAACTTTGATGCAGCTTGCTAGTGACGAGGGGAACACATATCCCAATGCAGCACGGATATTACGAGAAGATCTATATGTTGATGACGTCATGTCAGGTGGAGATAGTGTGGATGAAACTATCAAGATCAGCAAAGAATTGAAGGCCTTACTTCATCGAGGTGGTTTTGAGTTGAAAAAGTGGTCTTCCAATAGCGTAGATTTTATGAAAACTATAGATCCAGATGAAAGGACTGCTAATGCACATTTAAATTTAAATATTGATGGTACAATAAAAGCTCTAGGTGTACCATGGAATCTTGGCAGCGATAATTTTGAATATAGTCTGACACTACCCCCAATTGCGAGGTTTGTTACCAAACGAAACATTTTATCCGACATTCAGAAACTGTACGATCCACTCGGTTGGATAGCTCCTTGCATTTTACGGGCGAAAATTCTAATTCAGAAGCTCTGGCAAACTAAACATAATTGGGATGAAGAAGTTGACACAGCTCTAAAAGAGGAATGGGAAGGCATACGCGCTGATCTGGATAATGTCGATGGAATACATATTGAACGATGGCTGGGCACTCAAAGCGTCACGCATCACTGTACAGAAATACATGGATTTAGTGACGCTTCGATAAGAGCGTATTCTGCTGTAGTTTACTGTCGTGTAAATGGTTCAGAAGATAAAAATATAAAGACGTCATTAATAGCTGCCAGAACACGCCTCGCTCCATTAAAAACGATATCTTTACCGAGACTCGAATTGTCCGGGGCCCTCTTGTTGTCGAAGCTGCTGAAACATTTTGCTACCGCCATGAAAATTCCAACATCTCGTATTTTTGCCTGGACAGACTCTAAAATTGTTATTTCTTGGATAAATGGAGAACCCAGTAGATGGAAAACTTTTGTTGCTAACAGAGTAGTTGAAATAATAGAAAACATTCCTAGAAATCAATGGTACCATGTACAATCACATGATAATCCTGCAGATATAGCTTCAAGGGGTGCATTAGTCTCAGAATTAACAAACAATAATTTATGGTGGACAGGGCCAGAATGGTTATCGAGAGAAATTAATTACACAACACCAGAAATTATTCCTACTGACATAGAACAAAGAACAATTATACAAACATTCACAAATATTGAACAAGAAAAATATAATAGTTTATCTACACAATTTAAAGATTTTAATTCATTAACCGAACTTACAAGAACTTTAACTTATTGCAAGAGATTTTTAAGACAAAAGATATTTAGAGAAGACATAGATGCAAAACTAACAACTGAAGAGTTACACAACTCGTTATTATATTGTATAAAGAAAGTGCAAGATGAAGAATTTTCCGTAGAAAAAAAAACATTAAGAGAAAGCAAACAAGCACTCAAATTTACCAGACGACTGCAAGCATCCCATTATATTGGGAAACAAGAATACCCTGATAAATTTGATTATTGCTGACGCGCACTTGAAAACCTTACACGGTGGAATACAACTAATGATGTGTTACCTGAGATCCAAATACTGGATTATACGCGTCAAATCATTAGTGAAAAAATTTGTTTACCGATGTCTTGTATGAGCCAAACACAAGGTCACTGCTAGGTCTCAAATCATGGGTGATCTGCCAAAACCAAGAGTCACGCCTGCTCGACCGTTTTTACACTCTGGCGTTGATTTCGCTGGACCTCTACAAGTTATCAAAAGCAAAAGTAGAGGAAGCTAAACGCAAAAAGCATATATCTGTATATTCGTATGTATGGCCACTACAGCTATCCACTTGGAATTAGTTGGGGACTTAACAACTGAAGCGTTTATCGGCGCATTCAAAAGATTTTGCGCCCGAAGAGGCAAGTGTGCTCATCTATGGAGCGATCAAGGGAAGAACTTTGTTGGCGCAAATAAGGAATTAAAATATCTGTGGAAGGAAGCATGCCTTGAGTTCTCTGAAGAAATAACTGATTCTCTGGCATCTGATGGAACACAGTGGCATTTCATACCGGCATACAGTCCACATTTTGGAGGACTCTGGGAAGCAGGCGTACGATCTGTTAAGTATCATCTCAAACGTATACTAAATAACAACATGACTTTCGAAGAGTTATCCACAGTACTATGTGAGATCGAAGCTTGCTTAAATTCCAGACCACTGTGTCCAAGAGACGACCTTGACAATGAAAATGTGGAACCACTCACACCTGGACACTTCCTAATAGGGGAAGCACCTATTACCGTACCTAACCCAAGTTTAAGGAATATTAAAATACACAACCTGTCACGCTGGCAATATACACGCAAACTGGTAACTGATTTCTGGTCCAGATGGCAACAAGAATATTTACATAAATTGCAACAACGCCCTAAGTGGTTAAAACGAGAAACAGAATTTGAGATTGGCAATATTGTATTGATAAAAAAAGAAAATTTACCTCCAGGAAAATGGCACTTAGGACGTATTATAAATAAACATCCTGGTCCAGACGGCTACACCAGAGTCTACAGTGTTAAAAGTGGTGATATTGTTGTACCCGCCTCTAGGCTCCAAAAGATAAACAAGTCTTTTCGAGGTCAATGTGTCCGATTTTATAATAAAATCCCAAATAATATTCAGGAGTTGAGTATTAACAAATTTAAATCCGCAATAAAACGTGGCTTGTGCCAGAGGGCCTACTACTCGATTGTGGATTACATGGAGGACAAGAATGCTTGGGATTAATTAGCGCAGGCTATTTCTTTCTTAAGTAAAAATGTGGTGTGGCTAGTATGTTTTTTATTATTATTATTTTTTCTATTTTTTATGTTTCACTTCATTTTCTCTTGTATTCGTTTTTTCTTCTTAATCTTGTTTTCTCTTCGTTGTTTTTTCACCTTTAAGTCCTTAATAACGGACATACTAGCACACATCAAAACAATGTTGTGATATATTTATTAGTGCCATTGTATCTACTTATGAATTGCAAAAGAGTGGCCATGAGTTTGTTTGCCCTTTCTTCTCATAAGGCTCAACCCCTTGGAAACGGGCGGTTGTAGATCGGCACAGGCATATCATAGATTTTGTATGGGTTTGATTTTTGTTAAATTTATTTGGTTACTATTTGACAAAACAGAGATTGTTGCTTTTGTGTGTGTTGATCTATGACTTTAGAGTCTACATGGAAGACGATTTCAAACAATTTTGTAAATTTTATGAAATAAAGAAAGTTTGAGTTTGAGTTTGAGTTTGATAGTATAACCGAGAGAACGGTTAATAAATTATGTGCTTTACCCATCGATACTAATTGTGATGATTAGTTAATATGATTATTGTTCTTAGTTTTGTTTACACTTGTTTTGTTTTTTTTTTTGATGTTTCATAATATTGTAAAGGACTGGTAGTCCTTTGGTGGGCGGCATGTTGGATTATATACCTTAAGTACATTTATTGACAGTCCACTTCTTTATACCTCAAAGCTTAGCTTCTAACCGCCACCCACATTCAATACATGTATGTTCAGTTCAGTACCAAATAAAAGTTGATCAGAGAAACACGCTTGTTTACATAGTTAAAAACCCTGTACAAACACCTATCGAAGATTGCACCTTAATGGTCAAAACACATAACATTCATGTCAGCGATGGTCTTCAGTAAGGGCTCTATTGTATTTGTATGGCAGATAATAAACTAATGTGTGGAAATAACACTTTTACCGGCAGAAGGTAATCTCAGTTAGTGAAATAATTCATTAAATGACATTTTCGTCTCACATCTTTTTCATATCTCGTAAATATACATGTATTTGTATTTACTACGTTGCTTGTCAGTAGTAATGGGCATTAATGCTATTTTATATCTTATCATGTTAATTGCCAATGCTATTTCCTAATATTGCAATTTCGTACGAAAGGAGAGTAAATATTTGCGACCGTTCAACCCTCGCTGAAACCAAACGTCGCCAAACCACTAAGCGTACTGACCCTGCAGCCATTAGCCAACAGCTGGAGGAAATCGATTTTTCTCCGGTTTTATCTGCAGGAAATGCTGAGGTGGCATCGGAGGCATTGGTTGCCATTCTGACTAATGTCATTAGTTCTTATACCACAACTATTGCGTTATCACACAATCGGCGGTTAATTAAACCCTGGATTACACCCGGTCTATTGCGTTGCATTCGCCACAGGGATAAGTTACAAAAAAATACAAAAAAGGAGCCCTTGAATCAAACTTTAAAATTAACCTATAACCGCTATCGCAACTTTTGTAATAATCTTCTTAAGACGGTTAAACAGAACTACCACAAAATAGAACTACAAAAGGCCGGGGGTAATACCAAGACTACCTGGAACATACTCAAAAAAATTACTAATACCACTAGCGACAAATCTGCACCTATATCACTACTTAAACACCATAGGGATCCGTCTACAGCCGTTAGTAAAGTAAACGAACATTTCACAGGGATAGGTGCTAAACTGGCGAATAACCTCATGACTCGATCTAGCCGTCAACAAACTCCTAATGAGCTAAATGCACTAATTTATCGCCCACCTGTTCTACACTCAATGTTTCTGACTGAGGTTGATGAGTCTGAACTTGAACAGATTATATTAACACTAAAAGATAACACAGCACTAGGGTGGGATAGAATCCCATCATCTGTTATTAGAACCTCAAGGCACGTACTTATACCTGTGCTCAAGCATGTTTTTAATTTATGCCTGTCTTCGGGTGTCTTTCCAAAGGTGTACAAGAAAGCTCTTGTTCATCCTATCCACAAGAGTGGAGATAGAGACAGTATCGATAATTACAGGCCTATCTCTGTTTTATCATCACTTTCCAAATTACTTGAAAAACTTCTAAACAAAAAATTAATACAATATTTAGAGAAGAATCATTTACTCGCAGAATCACAATATGGTTTTAGACGTGGAAAATCCGCTGAAGATGCGGTCCTGGATGTAAGTAATGGGGTTATAACTAATATTGATAAAAATACAAAAACCATTGGCTTATTCCTTGACTTATCCAGGGCATTCGACACTGTCTCTATCCCCCTCCTTCTACACAAGATGGAATCACTTGGGATCCGTGGTTTGGCTCTTGAGATTTTTGCCAGCTACCTCAGAGACCGCACACAAAGTGTAGTAATAGATAATATCACTAGCTCTGAGGTTCCACTGACCTATGGGGTTCCCCAGGGAAGTGTAATCGGTCCCACTCTGTTTCTTATTTATGTGAATGAGCCTTAAAGTCAAAAACTGTAGAATTGTTTCCTTTGACGACGATACTGTCCTGCTAGTGGATGGACCTACCTGGAACTCTGCACGTGGAAATGCTGAAATCGCTTTGAACTTGGTAATGCAATGGCTCGAAATAAACTTACTCACCCTTAACCTAGAAAAAACCAGGTTCATGACTTTTTCCCCAAATGCATCTTCCCAACCGCCACCCTCATTCGAAATCAAGGCACACATATGTAGCTCCCTTAATACCTACAACTGCAGTTGTCCATCTATAGTTCGTTGTAACTGCATTAAATATCTTGGGGTAATAGTCGACAATAATCTTACTTGGAATTTTCAGATTGAACAAATTGTTACAAGGGTTGTTGTATATTTTTAAAAAGCTGAGAAATGCTAGAGATCTTAACACCATGAAGATGGTCTACTATGCGCTAGTTCAATCTATAATCGGTTATTGCATTACGTCCTGGGGTGGTGCTTGCAAAGCATATATGGTTCGTTTGGAGAGAGCTCAGAGATGTATACTTAAGGTGATGACTGGTAAGCCTAGAAGATTCCCTACGTCTGAGCTTTACAGTATCTGTAAGGTACTAACGGTGCGGCAATTATATATACTGCGGGCTATTCTGCGTAAACATACTGCCTCCCCGTATGACATTAATTTTATTAAAAATACACGTAGATCCGACAGAGTACATTTTAGTATACCACATAGAACTGCTCTGGCATCCCGGCAGTTTTACTTTCTTAGCCCCAAACTATATAATAGGGTTAATAGGTTGCTAAATATATATCCCCTAACCTATAAAAAATGTAAGCACAAATTGATAGTGTGGCTTCTTTCCTTAACGTACAGTCAGTCTGAAGACATCATAGCATGAAAACGTATACACCTTACACTTATCACATGTACACTGACATACACTCGCCTACACTTAACATACACTCAAACACCATTTACACAAGATAGGTACCAAAACACATTTAATTACTCATTGTAAAAATTGTAAACTTAGTTGTAAGTACTTGTACTGTTGGATTCGAATGTGGGCGTTAATGGCTACGACACAGTTTATACTACTGTAGCCATTATCGTATTATTATTGTGAAAATGTAACAAGGTTTTGAATAAAGTATATTATTATTATTATTATTAAAAACCAACGATCGTAACTTGAATATCACTCAATACTAATTTTACATAAAAAACTTACTATTTAATTTTCTCCAATATAATTACAGAAATAATCCCATATAGGGGAGATAGGGGAGCATTGGGCACTTTTTTACTTAAGCCTTAATAAAAATAAATAATTTTTTTTAACAAAATCAACTTTTTACTCCTTATATTAGTAGCACATATATTTGGCTTCAATTATAACGAAGAACACTTATACAATTATAATCAGTCTCAAAATTGCAAGAGATTTTCTGAAGACTGTCAAAAGTGCCCGACCACCTCCCGACCATTGGGAGGTTTGGGCACTGTATTAAATAGGCCACTTAATGGTAAATTACTTGAATATTAAATAACATAATCATAAAAACTTGCAATAAAATCAACAAACAATCAACTGTTTGAAACTATAAGTACTCAAAACAAAAAATTCTAAAGATGTAGTACTCAATACTCAGTGTTCTTACTTCAGTAATAAAATTTATCTAAGATTCGGTATAACCCAGATGGGCTTATCAAAAGTATACTTAGAGCTGCCACGCTTGACCCATATCTTTGGGTTTGGCAATTTGGTTTTGATGTCTTTCAATGGGACACTTGATATATCTTCAATCTCTGGATACATAAATGTATTACGTATCTTGCTCATACGCATAAATTTAATAGTTGCCATCGAGTGACGAACTTCTTTAATTTGGCCAACATAGTGATAGACAGTTTTCTTAGTGTCAAATTTCACTAGCACATAATCTTTGACCTTAAAATTTCTATCTAATGCAACCACATCATCTTCATCAAACGAATTTTCTTCCTCCAAACATTCATTTTCTATTTCCTCGTCACTGCTTATTTTCCTTTGTTTCTTCTGTTTCGATGTTAAAGATTTATCAAGTTTAGGTATTGCTTTCTTCCCTGTATTTTTATTTTTTTTGTCTTCTTTTTCTTTGTTCTTTTTTGTCGTTCTTGTTTTGCTATTTCTATTAATCTCTTCTCGGGCGTGTCTGTTAATATTCTTGTTTTTCCTGTCTTTCTCTTCATTTTTCATTTCATTTATTTATTCAATTTTGTGATACATAGGTGGTTAAGATGTCAATTTTATTATGTACAAGCTATGTCCCGCCGAAAGGCATACAAAATATTAGGCAATGATATATAAACAAAGCAATAGTATAATACGTCATTGAAATTAGGTACATTCCTTAAATATTCTAAGAGTATTGTTTAAATAAAGCATCATCATTTTACATAAACAAAGTCATCAATCCATATAAGTATATATAATTTAAAGTCATTATCAGTTCAGGTCAAATTAAGTAAAAATAATAAAAGATAATTAAAATTTATAGTAAAAAATAATCAATTAATGTCAATAGTATTAAAATTGGTCATTTAAATATTCGTTTATGGAATATAATGCTTTATTGTTAAAAAATTCAAAGAGTTTACATTTAAATTCATTAATATTTGTGCTCAATACAATTTGGTTTGGCAATCTATTATACAATTTCGGTGCCATTGCATATATACTTTTGTGGGCGAAGGAAGTTTTTGTGGGCAACAAGTGCAACTTATTTAAGCGACGTCGACTTTCCACAGAGTCAAATAATTTAAAGTTCAATCTTACAAATATAACGACCTCATAAATGTAAAGCGATGGTACAGTTAAAATTTTTAAATTCTTGAAATGTGGTTTACAAGTATCTGTCGGTTTTAATTTACAAATAGCACGAATACATTTTTTTTGTGCCAGTAATACATCTGATACGTGGGTCGCGTTTCCCCAAAATATAATGCCATATCTCAAAGTGGAGGCGACATAGCCATGGTAGGCTGTTATTAGTGCGGTCTTGTTCGCAATTTTTTGGAGCATATATAATGCGTATGAGAATTGAGACAGTTTCATACATACATTCTCAATTTGTGTTCTCCATGTCATGTCATTGTCGATGTATAGCCCTAAAAACTTTGTTGTACTCGTTTCATCTATTGATTCTCCCTTATATTTGATTGAAAATTGTGATTGATTTGTATTTCTAAGTCTAAAGTTCATGATTTTAGTTTTATTAAAATTAATTTTGAGATTATTTTTATTTAACCAAGTAACTATTGAGTTTGAGTGAATTGTTCTCTATCTGCCAAATAGGACTGTATAAGGTCGAGCACATTACCTCTTATACCATAGCTGTAGAGTTTTGCTAATAATACTTTGTGATCTACATAATGAATCTCTTCATGCCAACCTGTTTCCTGGGGGCAGCTTTCGGATATGGTCTCACGGAATCGGGAGTTATTACTATAGCTTCATTAGTCACGCTCTGAATCGGAGTCTTAGATCGTGAAGGCCCGGGAACTGCCATTTCGTTGGTGAGATCCACTTGATTTTGATTTATCAAAGGTGCTGCGCGGACTCTGTCTGGTGTCGTTTGTTTTGCAGGGTCTTGGTTTGGTGTTGGTTGCTCTGCGGGGCCTTGGTTTGCTGTTGGTAGTTCTGCGGGGACTTGGTTTGGTGTTGGTTGATCTACGGGGACTTCGTTTGCTGTTGGTTGTTCTGCAGGAACGTTGTCTGTATCGGTCAAACAGCGATCAGTGACAGAAGAACAAAGGAAATCTTCATCTGTGAAAATGTTGGAGTTAAAAGGCCATATGCCAGGTTTTTCGAATCCCTTTTGAATATTTTGTGGCTTGAATGCAAGCGGAATAGATACAGTAGCGAGCTTGGGGATTTCATAAATTGAAACCGTTATGCCTGGATTGCATACCAACCAGTCTGTTATAGCCGTATAATAATTTTTCAACGGCCCATAGACAGTCAAGTCAAGGGGTTGCAGCTTATGGCTGCAGTGTGGAGGAAATGTTAGTAAAACTATACCAGATTCTTTACAGAAATCGAGAACTGGCACAGAAATATGGCTTTCGTGATTATCCAGCAGCAGAAGAACTGGCGAGGTAGGTGTAGGCTTGGCGTATTTTGCAAAATGGTGCATAAACTTTAAAAAGTTTGTTGCTGTCATCTATCCTGAAGTGTGTGCTGATCCATCTGATCCAATAGAAGCATCGTGAAGCATAAATGGTTTGAAGTGCACCCGTGGAAATATGAAGAAGGGCGGTATGGAGTTTCCTATAGCATTTATTCCACAGCAAACCGTGACAAGAATCCCTCTTTCAGCAGCTTTCTTGGTTCCTTTAGAAGCGACAACTTTTTGAGTTCGCTGAACAGTGGATAGTCCTGTTTCGTCTATATTGTAAATAGCTTCTGGCCCAAAGTAATAACGCTCATACACGGATCTAAGATTTTCGAAGAAATCTCCAACATTTTTTCTGTTGAAGCTGGTGGCTCTTGAGAGACTGGTAGCTTCCGGTGTGCGTACTGATAGCCGTGGGTGTCGTTTAAGAAACCCTCTTATTCAATCTTTTGATGCTTTTTTATTTTTAGTCCAATGTTCTGGTATTTTTTTATTTATTGCACATGCATAGTCATAAGCCAACTGACGCGTTTGCACTTTTGAAAGTCCATAATTCAATTTAGAAGATGTTATGAGGTACTCTGACAGTTTTGCTTCTTCATCTTCAGCGAATATTTGGCAAGATATGAATTTAGAAGAAACATCTTTTACAGTGCCTTGTTTTAAATATCTTTGGAGATTTGATCTAGGTATGTCGTATTTATTTGCAGTCGCTTTAATTTTTGCTCCCTTTGTAATTTCTTCTATGGCACGTAATATTATTTCTTTAGGGATTTCGCGTCGCTTATTTTTCTTTTTAAATTCAAACGGCATTTTTCTAGAAAAATTAATATAATAATTAGTAACACAAACAATAATAAAACATCAAAAGTATTTAGTATTCAAATTGAATATTTACACGCAATTTAAACCCGTCGAAATAATTTTCTTTTAACAGAACTTACTTTTTACAGCGATTGCCGAAACAAACAATAGTGGCGGGAGCATTGGGCATGACCAAACCTCCTTTTAAAATTAGTGCTCAATGCTCCCCACCCCTTCATTTCACAAATAAATTCAAATATGTTTTTTGTAGTCTAATGTTTTACCTTAATTTATACGTTAATATTGGCTTTCGTTAACACATAACTAGATGGCAGGCTTGGCGCAGATCACGTTGTTATTTCCTTCGAAATCACATCAAAATATATATATATATATATTTTTTTTTCTTTAACTTTTTGCACAAGTACATGCATCGGCGGACTTAATGCCAAAGGCATTCTCTGCCAGTCGACCGATTGGGCGGTGCTGAGAAAGAATGAGGTAGGTGCATTTATGGTAAGGTACAAACGATAGTGGTTTTGTTAAATACCAACGATCTTGGTGTATACGTCGTAATACCACACACATACGCATATATATACATATACATACTCATAAATACATACACATATATATATACACATACACATTTATACATGAGAAAAATAAAAAATAAAAAATTTAGCCAATGAACTAGGAGCTCGTTGAATCTGCCATTTCGCTCAGCAATAGCTCTTTCACTTTCTTCTTAAAAGAGTACCGATTTGTAGCCATCCTGACTTCGTGAGGAAGCGCATTCCATAAGAGGACAGCCTGGACGAAGAACGAAGAGCCGATAAACCCAGTGGTGTGAGAAGGACAGAAGTCTGGGTGTTATTTGTGTCCGTTTCATGTATGTTTGTAAAGTCCCCCGCGACACAGGATATTTTCCTAATGCGGGAGTTGTCTTTTTAAAGAAAAAAGAAAAAAAAAAAAAAAGAAGAGTAGAAGAAGATTTCTGTTGTGGTACCATTAAAAATTATTTTGGGGAGCGTCTCAAAATTGACTCTGTTCATCGAACGCTGACTGCCAATTATTATTGCCTGACACTTTGTCGGGTTGACCGATAACCCAAATCTTTCAGACCAGTTTTTGATGGTTTTGAGATCTATGTTGATCTCATCAATAGCTATTGGTATGTCATCAACATTAGCTTGAGCATACAGTTGCAGGTCGTCAGCATACAGATGATACGCGTTACGAAGTTCAAGAGATAAGAGATTAATAAACATAGAGAACAATAAAGGAGAAAGTATACCGCCTTGAGGAACACCAGAGCCGACATCACATCAGCTCGAGGAGAGATCGTCGACACGAACGGACTGCTGGCGTCCCTGAAGATAAGATGAAAACCATTCCAGCGCTTCAGGCGAGATCTTAAGATAGGAGAGGATGAATAAGAGGATATCGTGGCTGACGGTGTTAAAGGCGTTTGAAAAGTCGACCAGAATTAAGACTGTCACTTTTGTATCTTCCAAAGCCACCCTGATATCACCAGTCACTTTGAGGAGGGCAGTGGTGGTGCTATGGCCAGGCCTAAAACCAGATTGAAATGGGCTTAATAAGTCATTTTTGTAGATGAAACCCGAGAGCTGTTTATGTACACAGGCTTCAAGAATTTTGGATAGGAAGGGAAGAATTGATATAGGTCTAAAGTGGTTAGGAAGTGTTGGATTTGCAATTTTAGGTAATGGAATAATGTAGGCTTTGCGCCAAAGTGAGGGGAAAGTTCTGGAGTATAGGGAGTAGTTAATGATATGGGAGATTGCTGGTAAAAGCTGATCGAGAATTGTTGTGATCATGCGTCTTGTAATTTGGTCGAAGCCCACAGCGTTAGATTTGAGAGAGAGGATTATCTTTTTGATCTCACCCTGCGCAACTGGAACAAATTGAAAAGAGTTAATGTTAGGGGGATTTAGGCTCGCCAAGTAATTGACTGTGAGATACTTGGTGTGGTGATCTAAACGAGTAGACGTGGAGAAATGACGATTTATATTATCCAGACCAACTATCTCCGAAACGGTCGACACCATATGACACTGACAACTAATCAAAATGGCAGATGACATTAGCCTGAGCGGTGTTGCCAGTTAGTAAGCTAAACTACCACAGTATACAAAATTAAGTACCTTTCATACTACCCGACTTACAAGGTGGTGCCCGAACCTCCCGACTGCCCAATGCTCCCCTATCTCCCATATAGTACCTACCTACCTACCTAGGATATCTCGATATGCTAGTCCTGTTGAGGAAGCCAGGACGGCCTGCCGTTTGGATGTATGTAAAATAGATATAAGATAAACTATAAAACTATGTATTGATTTGAATTATAGTCAGTCTTGTATTCACACTCGACTGAGTATTATTTACATACACTCCCACTGGCAACCCTGCCATAAAAGGCGCGTGTACGCGTCTTGTGTGCGATTGCAGAACATTTTGTGCGGTCTCTAAGACCGGTGTCTTATATCGTTTACGAAATTTCGGCAAGTATACAAGTTCAAAATGGCTGTTAGCCAGTCTGAAACGAGGTCGTCCTAGCGAAGAACGCTGCTGGAGCGGGCATAAACAATATTGGTGACCATCTAAGTATTACGAGTATTTTGCTCATTTTGATGACAACGTTGCAGTGCTGTGCTGTACTTTTTGGCATTTACAAAATCTATCGCAAATGCCATTTAGACTGAATGCGGTAAAAAATAGACCACAGATCTTTGCAAAGATAGCTGTCTCTTTTCCGGCGAGAGGCTCGCAGGCGTTTTAACGAGGAAATCGCCTAATTCTTGGCATTGTAAGGTAATATGAAATACATTATATTAGTGCAAATGTGCGGTAAGAAAAAGTGTCAAAGTGCGAAAAAAAAAAACCCAAAAAAAAGTGCGGTTCAAAGTGGATAAGTGCCTTACAAAAAAAAAAAAATTGCTAGTATTAGTTATCTAAATCGTTATAGTCATCTAAAAAGTAAAATCGGACACAGGACACGTTTAAATCTTAAGTAGTGTTTTGTTTTTTTTTTTGAGCATATTTTACCTAAGTACAATCAATCAATCAATCAGTTTATTTTCATTGCGAACATGGGTTTACAATTAGGTGTTACAGTTTTAATAATTTTTTCTGCCACATCCTACCTTTAGGCATGTAATAAGATAACATTAATAACGAGTTTGAGCTTATTTAATACATCATACGAGGTCAGAATTCACTCAAGTAATAAATGTGTAATCTTTTTATGATTTAATACTAACTTCTTCTGTTCTTATGCATATGATTACCATTTTATGACCGATTTATTAAAAGAGTTGCTTGATGAATTATTAAATATAAAAACTTACTTGGTAAAAATCGGACCAACTCGTAGGAAAGGTGAAGTCCTCGTAAAAAAGCTTGGTGAGGACAATTTAATAAATACTAAGTATGGTGAGAGCCTAAAAAATATTAAAGACTGTTAATTTAGGCAGAATTTCAAAAGACGAGCGTTTTATAAGAAAGGAATATTGTTCAAAGTTTAAAAAACATATATTCTAAAATAATAGAACTTTGTAGTGAGTGCCCTATTACCATGGAATTTAACTTGAAGATTGCGTTAAGCCTATTACCTGCTATGGACGGTAAAATGACTACTACTGAGAAATTGATGGACGTCATTGAGTATTATGCCACTACTCTTACCAATGAATCACGAATTGATCTTATTAACTTTGTTTTAAAAAGTAGGTTAATTCACTCAGCAAAATAAAGTAGATTAATTATTAAAGCATTTACTTCCTAAAAAATCCGCTTCCGCTATGCAACGAAAGTTACAATCTTTTAGACAAAACGTGTTGTCTATCAACGATTATGGCCATAAAATCACAGAATTATTCGTTGATCTTACAATTACGAAAGCTAATGGAAATGACAGTAATTATAGTGTCCTGAAACCTGTAAACGAGCAGCAAGCTATAAAGCGATTTGATTAGTACAATTATTGCAGCTCGCAATTTTGAGACCTTGAAGGACGCCATACAGGCCATCATAGACGAGGAAGTGGCTACACCTTGCACATCAAATGGTATTTTTTCAATGAGTCGTAATAATAATTTCAATTACAAACAAGGTCGTGGGCGTTTTCATTTCAACCAGAACTATCGCGGTAGAGGTACGCCAAATCAAAGAGGTAACTCGAATTATTATTTACATGGTGCATAAGCAGCTGGTTATGGTCGTGAATGGAGTCCTTGACTCCAGGCTAGTGGCTCGAGGTCGAGGCCTTCATTTAGAGGATACTGTAATAGCCCACTGCTGGACATAGGCCTCTCCTTAGAAAGGAGGTTTTGGCCTGCGTAGTTTGCTCCCTTAGTCGGCTCTTACGACCCCTGATGAATAGGGGTGGTAACACTTCGTATTCTTAATCCGTCACCACAGGGACAATAGATATATATTATTTATTTACTTATTTAACTTGATTCACAAGTTGTACACAGGCGGACTTAATGCCCAAGGCATTCTCTGCCAGTCGACCTTCGGGTGATGTAGAAAAATGATGCTGTAGGTGCAAGAGAAAACAGAGAATTTGACTTTTTTATATTAAAATTATTAATTTAAGTTAAATCTAAGTTACATATATACACTATATACTATAAATAAAATACTATATTCTTTACTACAAATATACATAGAGGTCTCAAGTATACACATACAATACATGAACATACACATTTACAAATACATAAATATCAAAATACATTGTCGGGTACAAGCGTTGTGACCTTTCTGCCAACTTATTTTGAAGAAGTTCTTGTACTTTCTTCTTGAACGTAACCCGGTTAATGGACATCCTGATTTCAACTGGGAGCGCATTCCAGAGAAGAACTGACTGTACATAGAAGGAATAATTGATGAAGTTGCAAGTTTGAGGGGGGCAAAGAAGAAGCATATTATTTGTTGATCGTGATGTCGGAGCAAAGGAGGCGGAGATGGGGAACCAGGTACTCGGGTACCGATGGGGAATTAAGAATTTAAAAAAGATATGTTAGTGCACGCAGACTGCGGCGTTGACGAATCGGGAGCCATTTATATATATATTTTGTATAGGACTAATCCTACCCATACGCCCAACACTGTACCTTCTGTACACCAGGATCCACAACAGTGGCCAATGAATATACCGAGTTATGACACTCGGGAATTCCCAGGAAGAAATCTTCTTCTTCTTCTTCCCAGGAAGAAGTCTTGGAACCCGCAACGAAATTAATCAGAAGAAAATTGGAGGAGTTGGAAATACAGTAAATCCACTTCCCTCCTTAGCAAAGCGGAAGACAAAATGAAGTAAAATAGGCATACACCTTTTTAAACAGACAAGTACCACGGTCACAAAATATTACGGGTCCTAGGGGTGAGCTATATTTGATTTCTATAATATGTATATGGCAGAATCGCCTAAACGCACGGAAATTCACCCTAGTTGACACAAGATCCCCATAGTATACCACCCCAGATGTCACTTGCAAGCTATTCAGCATTATATTACGTTAATTATACCAAAGACTACATTCCCGGAGGATATGATGAGCAGACTGTTCATAGTGAGAGTTAGGTTTGAGTGTTGACACAATGGTGACTCGACTAATTTAAATGAATACAGCTTGCTATTAAAGTTACCATGACCTGTAAAAATTGAGCGATCCACCTCAGGCCATGTCCTCGACAACCGTTCGCAAACAGATGGAAAGAACTGGTAAAGATGGTCTATGAGGTCATTATAGACATTGGACTGCTGTTGAAGCAATCTTGTAATTTTACCGCGATCTCACGCGCTCAAAAAATCGCATTACATGTTTTGTTGTCTTGAATAGTACATGGCTGCACGTCTCTGCACCTCGAGATCGACCGGAAGCACACCCGCCAATACCGGCAAAGCCTCAGTGCTAACCCTCCTATATGCCTTGCACAAGAATATCAGTGCAAGTCGTTGGCCTTGTAACAGTTTGCGACGGACAGCGCCTACGGTCTTCAGAGACGATACAGGTGTACCATATCACATAGAACCTAAATAAGTAGCTCCGTATATAATCTTTAATGTATTAAATGATAGACCCCATGTCGCAGTTGATATCCTTTTCAATGCACAGAAACCCTTTTTATTTGTTTATTTATTTATACATCATGCACTTTGGCGCATTGGCGGACTTAATGCCTAAGGCATTCTCTACCAGTCAATCTTTGGGTGATGCAGAGAGAACAGGAAGTAGGTGCATTTTGGTTAAAGTTTGATAGTAGTGTGGCAATCACACAATTTGCACATACGCCTTTAAACGAAGTCGGTTGAAGAATACCGTTATGCGGCCGGCAAGTGCCGCGCCCAGCGACGACGGTTACGGAGGCGCTCGGCATCGAATCGTGCGCCATCGGATTTCCCTGCCTCGCCAGTCGTTACACGATACTGACGCCGAGAGGCTGCGCGTGCGCGACCGGACGACCGTTAAACGGCTACGACGCGAATCCAAGTATTTTTATTGTAATTTCCCGCTTCCTTTCTGTGCTTATCTTGTTATCTTTCTGCCTATACTTGTGTTTACTCTTCCTGTGCTTGAGAACAATATATGTGACTTATATCTACTATAAAGAGTGTTATTTAAAAGCTCCAATTAACTTTACCCGCTATCGTAGATACGAACGATTCTACAGTGGTTTCCCCGACGTGCGAACATTTCAGTGTGCAGTGATAATTGTATAAAGTCGTGCGTACGTATAATAACCGCGACGATGCCTACTACCGGCGTAAAGGACGTTCCAAGCGAACTATGTCGTGTTGGTGTTAAAGTACCACCATTTTGGCCAAACGAACCGGCACTATGGTTTGTTCAATTAGAGGGTCAGTTCGCGTTGTCTAATGTAACGGCAGATGCCACAAAATTTTACCACGTCATAGCTAACTTGGACTATAAATACGTGTGTGAAGTTAAAGACGTAATAACTAATCCACCCCCCGAAAATAAATATGAAAAGATCAAAGCGGAGTTGATCTCGCGATTATCGGCTTCGCAAGAACAACGTGTGAGGCAGTTACTTACACATGAAGAGCTGGGGGACAGGAAGCCGTCCCAATTCCTTCGGCACCTTCGTAGCCTGGCTGGTGCGGAAGTACCCGATGACTTCATCCGATCGCTGTGGACAAGTCGCTTACCTAGCCAGATCCAAGCGATTATAGCCGCGCAAGTGGATCTCCCCTTGGATACAGTCGCCCAAATAGTGGATAAAATACATGAGATTTCTCTCCAGCCTCAGAATCAGGTAACCGCGGTGTCTACAGGGATTCCCTCACCGGCAGCATCGTGCCCGACGACCGTGATAGAACAGCTCACCCGTCGCATCGACGACTTGTCGCGACAGGTGGCCGAGCTGTCAGCTGTTTCCCGTTCGCGCTCGAGGAGTCGAGCGCAGTCTCCAGGCTGGCGTCGACGGTCCCGGAGCCGCTCTAATGCTGGCTCGGGATTTTGCTGGTACCATCAACGGTTTGGGAAGAAATCTACAAAGTGCCGTGATCCATGTTCCTTCCGTCAGGGAAACGGGTCAAGCAGTCAGTGAAGGCGGCAACGCGTGACTGCAATAGTGTCTCAGGTGGCCGTGTTTTTGTGACTGACCGTAAGACTAAGATCCAATATATAATAGATACCGGTTCTGATCTTTGCGTTTACCCTATCAAGTGCATTCCAAATAGACAATGTGTGAATTCAGACTATAAACTGTACGCAGCTAATGGTTCCACGATAAATACGTTTGGGTGGGTAAACCTGTCATTGGACTTTGGACTCAGGCGTGCATTTTTGTGGCGTTTCGTTATAGCGGACGTTACGAAACCAATAATAGGCATTGACTTTCTGTCGCACTATAATTTATTAGTAGATGCTAGACACAACCGCTTGATAGACAATGTAACGTCGCTCAGTGCTTACGCTCAGCCTGCACCTACCGCCTTGTGCCACATTAAATCTGTCGCAGGTACCTCACGCTATCATGAGCTACTCTTGCAGTTCCCAGATATCACACGCCCAGCTGGGGACCTGTCTTCGCGCAAGATCAAGCACAATACGCTCCACTACATACGCACCACACCCGGGCCACCCGTATTCTGTCGTCCACGGCGGTTAGCACCAGATCGACTCCGAATTGCAATCCGGGAGTTCGAAGATATGGTAAGAACAGGTATAGCGAGAAGGTCCGACAGTCCATGGTCATCAGCATTACACCTGGTACCGAAGAAGAACAACGAATGGAGACCATGCGGCGACTACCGCGCACTAAACGCTCGTACCGTACCCGACCGATATCCAGTGCGGCACATAGGTGATTTTGCTCACAATCTTTTTCGATGTACCGTCTTTAGCAAAATAGATTTGATCCGCGCGTATAATCAGATTCCTTTAAATCCTGACGACGTGCCCAAAACCGCTATTACGACACCATTTGGAATGTTCGAGTTCCCTTTTATGAGCTTTGGACTTCGTAACGCAGCTCAAACATTCCAAAGATTTATGGATGAGATCTTGCGAGACCTAGAGTCCTGTTATCCCTACTTAGATGACATTCTTGTGGCTTCCCAGAGCGACGCAGAACACCTGGAGCACATCAGACAAGTTTTTCAGCGCCTGGAAGACCACGGAGTTGTGATAAATACGTCAAAGTGCGTGTTTGGTGAGTCTGAAGTAGAATTCCTGGGGTATACAGTATCATCTGGAGGTACCAAACCACTTCCGCAGAAGGTAGAGGCAATCAAGATGTTCCCGCAGCCGAAGACCATCAGAGAGCTTCGCAGATTCCTAGGTATGGTTAACTTTTATAGACGTTTCGTACCTAAATCTGCAAAGATTCAAGCTCCACTGAACAATGTTTTGTCTGGCCCAGCTAAAAAACCTAGCACCCCTATTATTTGGTCACCCGAACTGCAAGAAGCATTCACCGCCTGTAAAACAAGCTTAGCCGAGGCTACACTTTTGGTTCATCCAGACTCATCGGCAGCTCTGATAATCAGTACGGACGCCTCAGATAACGCTATCGGCGCCGTATTACAGCAGGATACAAATAAAGGGTTGCAGCCTCTAGGATTCTTCTCGAAGAAGCTAAGCACGGCACAAAGAAAGTATAGCTCTTTCGACCGTGAATTGTTGGCTATTTACGAAGCGGTGAAATATTTTAGACATATGGTGGAAGGTAAAGCTTTCACCGTCTTCACAGACCACAAGCCAATAGTAGCAGCGTTCAAGAGGGCTTCAGAAAATTGTTCGCCGCGCCAGTTTCGCTATTTTGATTTTGTCTCACAATTCACGACAGATATACAACATGTTTCAGGTGATAACAACGTCGTAGCGGATGCTCTTTCTCGCACAGAAGCAATTACAAGCGCGCTAGACATGCGTGCCTTAGCATCCTCGCAAAAACATGACGTGGAACTTCAGCAACTCCTACAAAGCGACTCCTCACTAGACCTCCAGAAGATGGACATTTCTGGCTCAGGTGAGAGTTTATACTGCGATGTTTCCAACCCGTCACCCCGACTATATCTGACACCACAGTTCCGTCAACAAGCTTTCGACAGCGTTCACGGATTAAGTCATCCAGGAGTCAAGGCGACAGTGAGACTGATGACTCAAAAGTATGTGTGGCCTAACATTAAGAAGGACTGCAGCAGTTGGGCGCGCAGCTGTATCCCGTGCCAGCGTTCGAAAATTACACACATTCAAACAACAGCTTACCATCCTGCTGCCAATGGAATGGTTGAGAGATTTCATCGTCAGCTAAAATCGGCGATTACGTGCCATGCCAACGACGATTGGTATGAGGTTCTCCCATGGGTGCTTCTAGGAATACGGTCAGCATGGAAAGAAGATATTGGCTCGTCATCAGCAGAGTTAGTGTATGGAGAGACGCTGCGATTGCCAGGAACATTTTTCTACAGCACTCCCGTAGAAGTCGTAGACCACGCTGACTTCCTTTCACGTCTAAGAGCCAATATTCGCAAGATTAGGCCCACACCTGTGATGCACCATGGTACTTCTCCAGTCTTCGTGAGTAAGCATTTGTCATCTTCACGTCAAGTTTTTCTTCGTAAAGACGCTGTCCGCAAGCCGTTGCAGGCTCCTTATACTGGGCCCTACACCGTTCTGGAACGTGATGACAAATACTACAAGATAGATGTTAAAGGAAAACCTGTCACAGTGTCGATTGATAGGCTGAAACCGGCGTACTTGCTCAGCGACTCTGCGTTGCAGTTGCGTGATCCGCCACCAGACATTTCCAGTTCCCCACAGAAAACGCGATCTGGCCGCCGGGTACGTTTTCCCGATTTTTATCGATCGTAACGGTCTCCGGGGGGGCTGATGTGGCAATCACACAATTTGCACATACGCCTTTAAACGAAGTCGGTTGAAGAATACCGTTATGCGGCCGGCAAGTGCCGCGCCCAGCGACGACGGTTACGGAGGCGCTCGGCATCGAATCGTGCGCCATCGGATTTCCCTGCCTCGCCAGTCGTTACACGATACTGACGCCGAGAGGCTGCGCACGCGCGACCGGACGACCGTTAAACGGCTACGACGCGAATCCAAGTATTTTTATTGTAATTTCCCGCTTCCTTTCTGTGCTTATCTTGTTATCTTTCTGCCTATGCTTGTGTTTACTCTTCCTGTGTTTGAGAACAATATATGTGACTTATATCTACTATAAAGAGTGTTATTTAAAAGCTCCAATTAACTTTACCTGCTATCGTAGATACGAACGATTCTACAGTAGTTTAATATCAAATACGCGTTCATAAACCTATCATACACTAGAACCCATACACATAATACATACGTACATACATATACTTAAATACATATAAACTTACATAAATACATACATACCTAAATAAATACCAATAATAATAGTAGATGACAATCATATGTCAGTTGATTTTGCCAGTTGTTTTGCAAAATACTGCTTCACTTTAGTTTTGAATGAGAAAGTGTTGGTCGCCATCCTGACCTCGAGAGGAAGGTCATTCCAGAGAAGAATGGACTGCACCATTAAGGTGAAGCCAACAAACTCAGTCGTGTGGGGGGGACAATAGAGAAGAAGGTTGTTAGAGGACCGAAGGTTTCTGACGTGATTACTACATAAAAGTTGGAAGTAGGAGTTTAAATATGTTGGCGAAGATGGGTTGTTTAAGATAGAGAGGCAGCCAATTTAGCTGCGAACGGAAAGCGGAAACATGATCAAATTTAGAGAGAGAAGAGGTCTTGCGCATTGGTACAATGGTTCATGTTCGTCTGGACAAAGAGGTTATAGACTCGATCCATTACTGAGCCGTCTTTACAACCTCCTCCATGGTCGAAGATGACGAAGCACGAACGACGTCGGAGGCAACCTGGGTCGATTGGCTAGCCCCTGACGCTTGCCGAGAATTACGGGGAGGTTTGCAGCCTCCCTGCCGCATCTGGTGATTGGTGGGCTTATTACCAGCCGCACATGCTGGGCAGTGAGGTGCGGCAGAGCATTCTGCCGCCCTGTGCCCTGGTTGACCACAACGGAAACAAAGTCCGTTGCAGTCAAAACAACTTTCACACTTGACGCGTGTGTGTCCCCTCGCTAACACCTCTTCGGTCTTGCTTCCAGGACTGTGATCCTAGCATTCACAAGACCGACGAGGAGCCCACCAGCCTCGCCCACAACTCGCGCCAAACCCTCCCAGCCCGTGGCGAATGGTGCCGACCCTGATGTTTTCCGCGCTGCAACCCATCTTCTAACGAATCGCAGCGCGGATATCCTCGTTCTTCACAGAGTCGTCAAGGCCCGAGATGAGCAGTTCCGTGTACTTGGTAGGCCTGGCGACCTTAACATCATCCGTGGCTGCGAATATTCCCCGCAACATTTCAGCAAACGTGTCCGCCGTCTTTGCACCTTCAGCCCCGGAGAACTCGAGGATTCGAGCTCCCGTCTGGGCCAGGTGCATTCTGACATCCACCGTCCCGAACTCATGACCGAGACTATCCCGGGTCTTTCTAAACACGGCTGCATAGGATAGCCCGCCGTCAGCCGCCTCCGGTGACAAAGTAACCACCACAGCCGCGGTTTTAGGCGTCTTGGTGGCCTCTGCCACTGATGACGAGTGCGGTGTACAGGCTGCTTTCTGGGCAGCCTTCTTACCCCGTTTTCAGGACTTCGGAGTCCCCCCGATAACCTACCACCCATCATTTGAGGGTGACGACGTAGAGGGGACCGGTGTAGGTGTCACAGCGGGGAGCGAAGGGAATTTTGATCTAGCCTGTGCCGCAATCTTAGGCCCAGCCTTCGGTGAAGCCGTCCTTGCAGCTTTTTTTTTTTTTAGGTGTGGAAACCCCCTCGGGCCGTCACCCCACCGGGGTTTGCGGCGGGGTGGTGTGTCGGAATAGGACCGACTAAAACCACAAGGTGTGCCACTCTGCGCTTGTAATAGAAGGGATCCGGGAACAGCTGTTATTAGGACATCCGGACCCCTCCTAGCGCCTGCCCGCAACGCCGCGGGCACCACCCTCGGGTACATTCTCTATTTAGGCGACATCCGGCACACGCGGACGTAGCCTCCTCGCGGCTGGCCGTTATGGCGGGTGGAGGGGAAAACCCGTCCCGTCCACCCGTGGCCACACTCAGGGCGGCATGAGGCGGTGGTAAAGGCGCCTCCGCCGTCCGGTTCGCCGGCGACGGAGAGTGGAGGTTGTCCTCCCGGGCCCTCTCCGCTGTCTCCTTCTGCAAGATGACGTCTTCGCAGAAGGATGCGACCGCGGTGAAACATCTCATCAGTCACTACCGGCCATGGAGCGTATGACGGACGGTAGCGAGAGGTCCCCCCCGATGACTGCAATGAGGACCCGGCGCTGCGGCGCCCAAGCCGGGCAAATGGCCAACGTGTGCTGAGCCGAGTCCTCACTGCAATCGCAGTGGTGACAGGCGGGACTCAATTCCCTCCTAGCGACCGAGTGCAGGTACTTCCCAAAGCAGCCGTGCCGGGAAAGGACCTGCGTCAGCCGGAAGGAAAGGGTCCCGTGCTGCCGCCCTGCCCACTCGACGATGACCGGCTGGAGCGCCTCCACGGCGGTAAAGCCAGCACGTGGAGCCTCCAGCCGGGACGACCAACGAGCCTTCGTGGCTCGACGAGCGGCCTCACGCCACTCGCGTATCTCTTTGGGCGGGGGCCTACTGCCGCTAACCGCCCGGAACTCAGTCGTCCGCCGATATACTTCGGCGAGCACTTGTGCCTCCAAATTCCACGGGGGAGTACCGGCCAATGCGCACGCCGCCTCCGTCGAAACTGTGCGGGAACCGGGTGGTCACTAAATCTAGGAACCTTAAGGGTCAATTTGTGAGGCAACCGAGCGCTGGGCATGCAGTTATCGCGGTGATAAGACCCGTTATGGAGGAATGGCTCGAGAGGCATCACGAAACCGTCCATGGTGGCACCACTGCGATAGCCGGACCGTGGACACGGCGCTCCACACGCTGGCCGAATGCCCGGTGTGGGTGGAGCAAAGGCGTTGCCTAGTGGCGGCCATCGGAGTGGGAATTCTCTCGCTCGGTAACATGATTGCCGCCATGGTACGGAGCGAGAGTTCGTGGAACTCCGTCGTCGCCTTCTGCGAGCAAGTTATGCTTGCAAAGGAGATGGCGGAGCGGGACCGGGAGAGGTTTAGAACTCTCCCGGAGCGCTAGGCCCGGCAACGAGCTAGGTACCGCATACGACTTAGGCGCGGGAGGTCGCAGAATGACCTCCGTCCTCCATAAGCGCAGGCCTGGGGGTGGTAAGTGAGGCCATCTCTCACCCTAGCAGAAGCAGGGGGGGCCGCGCCCTTTCGGGAGCACATAGGGAACATGGGGGTTCCCATACAGGAGGGGAACATTTACAAGCCGTAGATGGCCCGAGGTACGTCGGGGTATCAGGGATTTCCTTCCGAGGGTACACCTGGTTCCCCGGCAACTGGTACCCGAGACTACGTGAGGTTGTTGGTCGGTTAGAGTCCGACATAACCACCGGTGGGTGGTATGCGAGGGGATTTCCGCACAGAAAAAAAAAGGCGAATTGATAACGTCCTCTTTTGTGTTTTTGAAGTCGATTAAAATCAAATAGTTTCTACTTCATCGACAAATTTGTTTACATCGTAGTTCGTAGGGCGCGCTTCACTCCATATGCTTGACGGGCCTGCTGGCTTAGTGGTTAGTCATCCTGACTGCTAAGCCAGAAGCCGCGGATTCGATTGCCATCCAGGACAAATAATTGTGTGTATATATAGGTAAACGATACTATGTATGTATTTAGAAATAATAATATGTTTATCAACAGTCTGGTTACCATAGTACAGGCTCTGCCTAGTTCGGAATCAGACGGTCGTCTATGAGATGTCCAAAGTTATTATTATGATCTTTCTTTATTTTATACACATATTAATTACATTTTTGAATAGATAAACCCTCAGCCTCAGTGGTGCAGTGGTGGCGTATGCGACTGCTGTACTGAGGTCTCGGGTTTGATTCTCAGGTCGGACCAACTGTTTGTGTGATCTACAAATATTTTGTTTCGGAGTTTGGGTATTGTCTATGTGAAATATGTAGAGGAAAAGGTGGTAATGTGGCCCCTGCAGGTGTATTGGCCCCCTTACGTATTTATGATTTAGAAACGCGCCATCTAGTACAATGCACGTGCAATGCGGACCTCTTGTGACAGCTACCGAATAGTAACCGACACATCTGTGAGATGGTGTAACGTTCTTTTGTTATTTAGGGTCATTTGAAACACGCAATGGAAAACATTTAAAATTTAAAAAATGAATAAAATGGAGAGCATTTTATTCATTTTTTCCGGAAAAACTAAGCTTTACGTTGAGTGATTTGGACATTGTGTTCGAGAAACGTTTTCCTACTGGATTTTGAAGGTAATTATGCAAAAACACTGATAATTATATGTATTTTGGTTTGATTTATATATTCATTAATCCTTGTAATTTGGCCCCCTCGCATTGTTCCTATTATGGTCCCGGGGGGGCCATATAACATGTATGAGCGATATATCATTTCTGTATTCTTTTTAATTTTGTTTTCAGATGCCTCGACTCAGTCTACTACTCCCATCTTCGAAGAAAAGGAAAACATGGGATCCTGATATTTTCCCAAGAAAAAACTTTACAGATCTTTTGATGAAAGGTGCGCCACTTGGAACGATTGGTAAAGTTCATCCATCAGGTTGGATTCAATCTAATTTGTTTATTGAGTGGTTCAGGCATTTTATTGAAAAAACGAACCCCAGCGAGGCCTCTCCGGTGTTGCTCATCTTTGACGGACATTACAGTCACACTCGTAATTTAGAAATAATAGAGCTGGCCCGCGAAAATCATGTCACCATTATCAGTCTCCCACCTCATACGACCCATAAACTCCAGCCTTTGGATAAGACTTTCATGGGTGCACTTAAGAGTCATTACAGCGAGGAGATACGCAAGTTTCTTATTTATTCTGAAAGAATGCTTAAACCTTACGATATTGCTGAGCTTTTTGGAGGGGCATATCTCAAGTGCACCTCGGGAGAAATTGCAGTTAATGGTTTTCGTGCTACCGGCATTTACCCATTCAATCTGCAAGTTTTTACTGAGGTTGATTTTATAGCGGAAGCATCAAACAGTGATCAGTCATGTCGCAGTGTAGACAATCAACGTGGAAGTGTTGTTGCTGACAAAGATGCCCCAGGAACGAGTACAGCGGTTCAAGAGACGCCAACTGGTTTGATTCTACCAGAAGAAATTCAGCCCATCCCTGGGGCCAAAACTAGGACTTCTAATCGTGAAAAAAAAGCTACAACAGCAAAAGTGATCACATCATCACCTTATAAAAACCAATTAACCGACTCTTTGCGCTTAGCTGAGACTCGTGGACGAGGCAGTAGAGGTAGACGTGGACGAGACCGTGGACGCGGACGAGGCGTTGGACGCGGCCTTGGACGTGGTCAAGGTGGAATGGGCAGCGGCAGCAGTGCTAATCGACGACGTCAGAGAGTCAGTACATCCAGCGGTAGCTCTGAAAGTGACGCAGTCGTAGAAACAGACTGTGAATATGACCACCATGTCAATTCAGATAGGATCCCTGAAAGCTTAGATACGAGCTGCATATTTTGTGAAGCCAGTCATTTTAGCGACAGACATGGTGTTGAGTGGATTCAGTGCGAATCTTGCAATTTATGGGCTCATACAGCCTGTGCAGGCCCTGAAGGCGAATATTATATTTGTGATTATTGCCGTTAAATTTCATTAAAGTCCAATACATTTAATTTGGCCCCCAGGGTGCCATATAACCCTCACTTAATGTCATGTTGTGAAAATTTTAGTTTTGAGAATAAATTAAGTTTTTTATTATTCTGTGGTTATTTTCTTTATTCTACAGTTAGGCATGCATAAGCCAATGAGTAAGGAACACTATGACGTACTTGCTTTATTTGTTAGTGTAGTATTTTTTACATGAGGCCTGAAAAAAAAAGTAGGGGGCCACATTACCACCTTCTCTTCTATATATTTCCTTACAAAAAAAGGATATAAGTATACATATGCCACGTGTACATACTATTAATAAAAAAAAAAAACACGTATTTCAAAATATAAAACAGTAGACGTCCGGCTTCGAGGACAGGAACCAACACACCGGTGGTCAGGGCCCCAAGGACAGAAACCTCCTGTATAAATTGAAATATGTTACATTGCTCTTCGATAGATGTCGCTGTGCCGTTTGGCTAAATCGCGGTATGGTTTCGTTACCGCAATCAATATAAATTGATTTGATTTCTTTGTATTAAACGAACATCCTTTTACTTATTGTGTACAGTGTTACCTAGTGATTAATAAAACTAGTTGTAAAGAGTCAGTGGTTTTAATTAAGGCTCCTGGGGATCCATTTGTACATGGTCCTTCTCAGCCGGATACAGTGCGCGGTAGTGTCGACGCGTGCAATTTTTAGTGCTTCACCAGCATAGAAATCAGAGTGGATCGCTCTGAAGTGCTGCCGCCGCTTAGCGCCACGAAGAGGCCTCAGCGACGTATTCCGTCAACAGCAGAGGGCGCCACGGGTGTGGAGTCTCTTGGCTGTCAGCAGCGTGTTGAAAGCGCATTATACAGCGGAGTGTCATTGAAGCGGACAATACAGGCGAATAATAGCGGTGGTGTGGAGGAGTTACAAGCGCCCCCTATCGGAGAAATTAAGAAGTATTGTAAATTTGGAGTAAGTGAGTGACGCATTCAAGCAAAAACTGTGAGTAAACTTTAATTTTATTTAACCGGTGCAAAGTGAGAAGTTTCGTCATCAACAGTTTGAGACTTTATTAGATTTAATTAACTTAGAATATTTATAGTTTAAGCACTTGTAAAATTTTGTTCAAATATTAGGACTTAAAATATTTTTTCTGTACTTGCATCGACGGGGAATCCATGCCCGATTTTATTGTTAAGTGTCACATTTTTCAATCACTTGTAAAATTTTTACGTTTATGCTGGGACTTAGAATAATTTCTGCTTGCTTGAATTGTTCTATGTGTTTGAAACTCTTGAGTGGCTTATTGTTTATTGCTTGGACTTAGAATAGTTTTGCTTAAATTTTGTCTGTACCCGATTTTTCTAAGTGTCAATTTAGCATTAAAACACTTGTAGTGGTTCCTCAGTTGAACTTAGAAACAATTTCTAATAGTTGTACGTTTGGTGAATGTTTATAACAGTTTCTAAGTATCAATCAATTGTTTATACATTATTAAAAGTGTGCAACCACTCTCATTCTGATCTTAGAATTTAAAGTCTAAACTTTCATCTCGAATTTTGCCATTCGGTTGCGTGTTTGGATCTGTGTTTTTCTAATATTTCAAAATCAAATTTAATCTGTTTATATAAATTACATTCTAAAAAATTGTCTAACTTCAACATGGAAGCATTAATAAAGTTGCAAAATGATGCAAAGAATTCCATTGAGAAGGGCAGAGTAAATTATAAAAAATCACCTAAAGAACGTCTAACACCTGCGTTCCTGGAGACCAGATTGGAAACTTTGGAACAACAATGGAAGTCTTTTGTAGAAACACATAGAAAGATAGTAGAACTTGCAAAAGATAATGAACATAATTATTTTAAAGCAGATACATACGATAGCACCGAAGAAAGTTATATTTTATACAAATCAGAGTTGAGAGAACACATTTCAAAACTTGCAAAGCCGACTAAGGGTTCAGATAAGCAACCGGTAATAAAGATGTATAATAATGTTAAATTACCTAAAGTCGTTATTCCAATGTTTTCGGGAAAATATACAGAATGGATATCATTTCGTGATCTATTTTTATCGCTAATTCACAACAACGATGCAATTGATGATGTACAGAAGTTACATTATTTAAAAGGTCATTTGGCGGGTGAGGCAGAACAATTGTTGCGCCACACTCCAGTCACAGCTGCCAATTACCAGGAATTACCAGCAACTGCCAGAGTTGCTAACTAAGCGTTATGACAACAAGCGGTATTTGTGTAACGCTATGTTAAAGAGATTAATAAATCAATCGAATATTTTGGAATCAGCAGGCGCTATTAAGGAGCTCTTGGACACAACTGTAGACTGCATAAATGGCCTATCCACTATTGGTGTTGGCGTTGACTCTTGGGATGTTATAATAATATACTTAATCAGCGAAAAATTAGATAGCGAGTCACGAAAATTATGGGAGTCAACGGTTGGTACCTGTGAGGAATTACCAACATTTGACAAATTTAAAACGTTTTTAGAGTCTCGATTTCGGTCATTAGAGTACTTAGATACACAGAGTGGTAGACAAAGGTCAAGTAACAAACCAAGAGTTCTTCATGCGGTTGCTTCCAAAAACGATACCCCTATTAAAGCAAGCTGTCCATTCTGTAAACAACCTCACAAACTTAGTCACTGTAAACAGTTTTGTAAAAATGACTATAAAACACGTAGTGATTTCGTTCGAACTAGTGGCTTATGCTTTAATTGTTTAGGGTCGAATCATTCTATTAAGTTTTGTCGTGTCCCCACCACTTGTCAGATTTGCAATCGCAAACACCACTCTTTATTACACCCTAAGGAATCCTCAGGATCAACGTCGTCTAGAGGCATTGCAGAGACGACGTCAGTAGTCAAGTCGGCAGTAGCTACATCGAGTACTGCTTCCGATGCGGTGCAGGAATTAAATGCTGCCGCTATAACCACTCACTTTAGTAAGAAGGCTGTTCCAAATCAGGTCTTATTAGCAACCGCTCTTGTCGAAGCACAGACAGGCAACGGATACAACCACCTGCTGAGGGCGTTATTGGATCAAGGATCCCAGACGTCGTTCATAACCGAATCAGCAGTTCAGTTACTTGGACTCAAAAAGACACCCGCAAGAGGTGTCATTTCAGGCATAGGAGGTGACGGTGGAGCTATGGTCTCCAAGTTTATCGTTTTAGTAACTATTAAATCACGTCACGATCCTAATTTTCACATCCAAGTTCAGGCATATGTTTTGGGCAATATTACATCGTTACTTCCAGGTGATAAAGTATTAGTAACAACGTGGCATCAACTAGAAGAAATAGTTTTAGCAGATCCAGAGTACCACAAGCTGAAGTTTATGGCCAGGTACTCAAAGATGGTTTAATCAAGCACCCTCTTGGACCCTTGATAGCACAAAATACACGGTTAGGTTGGATTTTGTCTGGGCGAACACACAGAGATTCGAATTTGGATTCAGCACATTGTCACCCGGCATTGGTAAGCATGCATTCGCAGATCAGTGACAATGAAATGCTTAAAAGATTTTGGGAAATCGAATCTGACGCATACAGTAAGAAGAAAATACTTACCCAGGAAGAGCAGTTATGCGAAGACTTCTTCAAGCAAACCACTCAACGAGACAGCACTGGTCGGTATGTTGTCAGTTTACCATTTAGAGACTCAGACCCACAGTGCAAATACGGCCATACCAGAGACATTGCGCTTCGACGATTTCACCTTCTTGAACGTCGTTTTAAGAAGGATCCAGAGATGAAACAGAAGTATACTGAGGTCATTCAAGAATACCTCGACCTTGGTCATATAGAAGTAATCAATCCCGAAACGGACACTCAGAGAACGGAGGCTGTGTACTTACCTCACCACGCCGTAGTTCGGGAGGATAAAACGACGACCAAGGTCCGAGTTGTGTTCGACGCATCTTCCAAGGGGTCCAATGGTGTGTCCCTTAATGATACACTGATGGTTGGTCCTACCATTCAGCCAGACCTGCGTCAAATTGTAATGACATGGCGGTTACATCCAATTGTCCTTTGTGCCGACATTGTTAAGATGTATAGGCAAGTCATAGTTACTCCTCAACACACACATTTTCAACGACTGCTCTGGCGGAGTGATCTAGAATCTGAAATAAAGGATTACAAATTAACACGTGTGACATTCGGAACTGCATGTGCACCTTATCTTGCTGTGAAGTGTTTGCAGCAGTTGGTACACGATGAAGGAGCATCTTTTCCTTTAGTCGCTGAAAAATTAAAAGAAGAATTTTACGTAGATGACTTCATGTCAGGTTGTCAGACTGTGGAGCAAGGAATGAGGATCTACAAAGAAATGACAGAATTGCTTGAAAGAGGAGGTTTTGAATTACAAAAGTGGACGACCAATAGTAGAGAACTGACAAAAGGCCTTAGTGAAGCAAACAAATGTCGAGACAAGGTAGTAGAATTAAAATTACCCGCAGTGACGAAGGTACTCGGCATTTCCTGGGATAAGGAACATGATTGTTTCAAATATTCTGTAACATTTCACCAACACTCTGGCCCAATCACTAAAAGAAAGGTCATATCGGAAATTTCTCGCCTTTTCGATCCCTTAGGATGGGTAGCACCTTGTGTATTACCTGCTAAAATATTCATCCAAAAACTGTGGCTTGCGGGGATTGATTGGGACGACAGTTTGCCTACTGTTCTACATAACGAGTGGACAACATATAAAACCGAGTTATTGAACCTACCCGAAATTGTCATCCCACGGTGGTTAAAAACCAATGGCAATGATATTGTGGAACTCCAAGGTTTCTGTGATGCCTCTAATAAAGCATACGCAGCAGTGGTCTTCATGCGAGTGATCGGAGAGAGCCAGGACATTAAAGTTAACCTGGTGACAGCCAAGACTAAGGTGGCTCCTATAAGGCAGCTTTCGATACCGCGTTTGGAGTTGATGGGTGCCGTTCTTCTAGCCAAGCTGATAACGGAAGTAGCTGAATTGTTCAACATTCCCAAAGAAAATATACACTGCTGGACTGACTCGACAGTAGTTTTGGCATGGCTTTGTGGTCACCCTAGCCGCTGGACGACATTCGTAGGTAATCGCGTCTCAGATATCCTGTCTTTGGTGGAAAGTTCTCAATGGGCGCATGTAAAATCTCCTTTTAACCCCGCAGATATAGCGTCCAGAGGTACGACACCTATGGAACTTTCAAATTGCTCACTATGGTTTCATGGTCCATCTTGGCTGAAAAACGGAACAATCGACTACACAAAACCTAAGTCAATCAGTACGGAAGAAGAAGTAAGAATAGTAAAGGTACACGTAGCAATACGTCAAGACAATTCACTGTGGACCAGATTCTCATCACTTCAAAGGCTAGTCCGAGTCGTGGCGTATTGCAGAAGATTTTTTAAAATAAATAGGAAAGGACACACTTACCTGACCAGCGAGGAATTAGATGAGGCCCTGGAAATTTGTA